CTATTTTTCCTTCGAGTCGATTCTAGACTGAAGGACAAGAAGCTCAAGTCCCATCCTTCGACCACGTCGAGCATCCCTACTGCTACTGACAGTGACTATAAGCTGCTGCATTGTTGCAGGGTTATTGGGCCAGTACCAGCAGAAATTATCCAACTGGTCATAATTGATATTTCGCGCAAAAAGAAAGCTCAGAGCGCACGTTTCCTCTGTCGAGGGTCACTCACCAAACTACGCACCCACCCACCCCACCTCAAAGCCAGAGCTGAGCTCCCTCCCTGAAATTCTAGCAATGACACTTAATTCCCTATGGCCCTACCAGGTGTTTTTTTACTTATAAGTCCTGTTACGCTACTTATACTTATAAGTAACATAAGGCAACTTATCCTACCTATGGACCTTACCGAATAAGTAGGACAAGTGCGATGGTAAGTAGAACATGTTGTGTTTTTGAAGGTTTTGCTTCTTTCTGTGTTTTGGTAAATTACAACCAGATGCAGCCGCATATTTAAGACATCTGTATTTATATACATATATATATACGTTCGTGTGCACTGGTTGGCGCGCGGCTGGACTTGGCCGCGGCAGTCTGTCTGGGGCCGTGTATATATATATATATAGAGATCTCTGCGGCTCTGCGGAGGTGTCGGAGACATGACACAAACAACAACAAAAACGAGCGGCGCGGAAGCCCCAAACCACCAAACAAAAGACAAAAAAAAACAATATTTCCCGTCCCGGTCTTCCCACAAATTTCCCACAAATGATTTCATTGTTTTTCAATCTTCCCACAATTTCCCTTATTAAAGGTAATTGGCAGGGTCTTTCCCACAATCTACTTCCCCAAAGTCTTCCCACAATTTCCCACAATTTTCCCACAATTCCGGGCACTCCGTTTTCTTGCGCCCAGTAAGTGCTCTACATAGGCCCAATGAGCCCGATAGAGGCTTCCAGCTTATACACCTCAGAGACCAGCACGCCCACGGCGTCCAAGGTGTACAAGCTGTCGGTTGCAGCTGCGCCCAGACTCCCTCGCTGAGCATATGCGCTGCGTGCGTGTAGTCTTGCACAGGTCGCCGTGCGCGCGTCTCCATGCCTCCCACAAAAATGCTCCCACAGTCTATATTTGCTTAAGCCCAACTGCCAGGACAACCCTCAAAACCTCTATACCCATAAGTAGGTTAAGTAGAAAGTAAGTAGAACATTGTTTTTTTCGTCATACTTACGTTGTACTTATAAGTATGGAAAATTTTTAACATAACTAGCACAAGTATCTATATAACTACGATAAGTTCCAAGCCATTTTCGTAGAACTTACGCAACTTATCATGGTTAAAACTAGGTTATAACTCTAGTTGTCCCATTCATAACTAAGTTATAAGTATAAAAAACACCTGGTACAGGAAGCTCCATCAACTGGCTGGGCTAAGGCCAATCAACTTATCAGATCGATTCCCAGCAAGCTATGAAGGATTCAACTGCATTGGGTCTGGGACAGAACTATCCGTAGGCTTGGGGGTTGGTTGACGTGTAAGTATGCAACGCTGTCATAAACTGGATCAGAGATAACTATTTTTTTGGCAGTTGTTGTTGCTGGAAGGCCACACCAGCTCGTGCGGGTCAGTGTGGATGGCCAAACCAGCAGTGGTATGGCAACGATTGGTGGAACAATTCTACATCATGGCAGCAAGATTGTTGGGCATGGACCAACAGTTGGGAGCATGATTGGTCTCAGCAGTCCACTGACAAGGAGAATTATGTTTAACCTTTAAACTCGCTATCTGGCTATCTGATCATGTGGGAACCCTTCATCAAACCTTATTTATAGGTCCAACCAGGCCCAATCATTCCCCCGTCGGTGATCTTATACACCACGCCCTGAGGAGGAAGAGGTCATGAGGATCAAGGAGGCTTTGGAGGCAAGAGGCATTTGGTGCGAATGGACACAAAGGACTTGCAGGAGCGTGCACCTGCATGCGGAGGGCGCTATTGAGGATCTCTCAAGCCTGAAGGAGACAGTCCAAGCCATCGTGAAAGGATGGCAAAAAGGTGTGCGGAAGAAGCTGTTGGGATCTGTGGCAGCTGTGTACCTCGGCACGGCAGTGAGGAACCCAAGATACGCAGAATTCCAGAAAGGAGGGGTATCCTTCAAAGTGCAGGATTTGCCAGAGGAATATGCCCTGAGGGGTGGCCTGGCCACTTGGATGGTCTGGCAGAAGGTGGCCGAAAGCACGTGCGATGACGTGCGATTGTATTACAATCGCTTTGGCTTCAACTTTAGCCCCATTGTGTGGGATGTGCCTCCTGTTCAGCTGTTGAGGACCAGAAGGCAAAGAAGGAGGACGCCAAGAAGGAAGAAAAGACACAGGACCAAGCGAGGACGCCAAGAAGGAAGAGAAGACACATGACCAGAAGGCAGAGAAGGAGGATGCCGAGAAGGAAGGGAAAACACAGGACCAGAAAGCAAAGAAGAAGGAGGATGCCAAGAACGAAGGGAAGACGCAGGACCAGAGGGGAGAGAACGAGGACGCGAAGAAAGAAGAGAAGACGCAGGACCAGACTGCAGAGAGAAGGAGGATGCCAAGAAGGAAGAGGTGCAGGACCAGAGAAGACGCAGGACCCGACTGCAGAGAAGGAGAACGCCAAGAAGGAAGAGACGGATGCCAAGAAAGAAGAGAAGACGCAGGACCAGACTGCGGAGAAGGAGGATGCCAAGAAAGAAGAGAAGACGCAGGGCAAGAAGGGAAGGAGGATGCCAAGATGAAAGAGAGAGATTTGATGGAAGCCCAGGAGGGCGGATGCAAAAACGGAAGAGAAGACGCAGGACCAGACGGCAGAGAAGGAGGACGCCAAGAAGGAAGAGAAGGATGACAAGAAAGAAGAGAGAGAAGCAGGACCAGACGGCTGCAGAGAAGGAGGACGCCAAGAAAGAAGAGAAGACGCAGGACCAGACTGCAGAGAAGGAGGACGCCAAGAAGGAAGAGAAGGATGCCAAGAAAAAAGAAGACGCAGGACCAGACTCCAGAGAAGGATGCCAAGAAAAAAGAGAAGACGCAGGACCAGACTGAAGAGAAGAAGGACGGCAAGAAGGAAGAGAAGGATGCCAAGAAGAAAGAGAAGACGCAGGACCAGACTGCAGAGAAGGAGGATGCCAAGAAGGAAGAGAAGACGCAGGACCAGAAGCCCGAGAAGGAGGATGCCAAGATGGAAGAGAGGAAGCAGGAGGAGAGGAAGGAAGAGGTGATAGCCCCGCTGGAAGTCCAGGAGGACGCCAAGAAGGAAGAGCAGACGCAGGACCTGAAGGCAGAGAAGAAGGAGGATACCAAGAAAGAAGAGAAGACGCAGGACCAGACGCCTGAGAAGGAGGGCACCAAGAAGGCGGAGAAGAAGCAGGACCAGACGGCTGCAGAGAAGGAGGACGCCAAGAAGGAAGAGAAGGTGCAGGACCAGACTGCACAGAAGGAGGATGCCAAGAAAGAAGAGAAGACGCAGGACCAGAAGGTAGAGAAGGAGGACGCCAAGAAGGAAAAGAAGACTGAGAAGGAAGAGAATGTGGAGGCACAGCAAAGAAAGGCAAAGGAGGATGAGGAAGCAAGAAAGAAGAAGAGAGAAAGGCATGCTGTGTATATGAAGTTTTACCGAAGCCTCTTCGAACGCAGCTTTGACTGATCATATGCACTGCGTTCCTCTGGGTGATGGCACCTAGTCGAGTCAAACACCAGGCCATCCCTGAGTCCATGTACATACAATACGCATACCACTTTCGATAGCCCACTTTCTCTCTTTGCTCCTCCAAGGCCAAGCTGATGGTGCGAGCCACTCCAATCCAGGGCTACAGGGTAGAGAATCACGTTTCCTCAAGCTCAGGCAAAAAGACTCCCAAGGAGGCGAAAAGGTTGGGAAAGATTGCTCAGGCGGAAGGTGGTGCCTTGAATGTGCAAACACTGCTGGAGCAGTCTATTTGGTGACTAAAAACCAATGTTGATATCGATGGTCTCGTAAAACTAAACTAGATCTTAATCAAGATCTGAATATAGCATGTAAAATCCAAGGCAATGGATGCCTGAGCTACTTGTTCGAAGAGTGGCTACAGTGTGGGAGAGTCTGGCAGGAAAGGAAGCTGGTGATCTTTGTCCAGGAGAAGCGATACAAGCGTATCAATGGGAAGAGGAGTGGATGCTTCGAAGCGAAGTGGAAGCAAGGTTCCTTGTCAACCGTGCGGTGATGCTGCACACCAGGCCCAATTTGTAAATAGTCTGAAGGCCTCCACCCCCCCAGGTTCTAGGTATAGGCTCTGCTGATCTAGGGGGCCAGATCGCATTTAGTGTGATGCAAATTGGGGAGCCTGCGGTGGGGCAAGGAGATATCCGATGCTATCTGCGAGCGAAAGCTTGCTTCAGCAGAACTTAGAAGCTGGGCTTAATTTCGAACCCAACTCTGGCTGTTGTGATGGGGGATCTAATGCCTCCAGAGGACATTGTGGACTTGAGCGTTTGCAGGACCAACATGGAGCAAGCTTGGCGACGCTGATGGAGAGTGGAAAGAAAGGGCGTGTTTCCGATCGACTCGTAAAACTTGTTCGTTTGTACATGACCTCGTTTTACTTGACTCCCGGACTTGCAGGGTATGTTTTCAAACATGTTCAAAAGAACAAACTGTTCGCCTATAATTCTAACTGCTAGTCCGCCACTATGATATATATATATATATTGTATAAAATACAGTACATGAATTCTATGTCATACCTCACAATGGCCCATAGGCTTGAAAAACAACACTGAATTCAGGGTGTTTCCCACACTACCGTTTGCCGAGGACCTGAGACTGCAAAATCCAAGTCAACCTTTTGTTTAAAGGTCTTGGACAGTTGACCTCTTGAACTACTTCCATGCTTTGCTTCCGCTTTTGGTGCGGACGAACCATTCTTACTCATTCTTGGTGCACCTCGTTCGAGCACCAAGAGAGAACCAAGTTCGAGCCCTCTTCCCGCTCTCGAGTGGGTCCTCCATCTCCAGCTCTACGCACCGTTCTTCGGGCCAGCTGGAGTGATTGATCAAATCGAAAAGCCTCGGCGGGTTTCGCTCTTTTCTTCGACTCGGCGGATTGCGGATATATTAAGGGGGGCGAGACGGGTGAAGGCGACTCGGGAGTGGAAGGAGCAGGTGGCCACCTGCAGGCTTTTGATAAGTGGTCTACAATTCCGTCCAAGAACGCAGTAGTGACTGGTGTCTCATTGGACAATCACTGGACAGTGTACAAGAAGCAGTACGAGTACATTTCTGCAAAATACACTCCCTAGAACTAACATGAAAGTGGAGAATGGCCCGAAAGGAAGACCATGAAATCCACTACAAACAGGTGGTTTTCCACTTCCATGTTAGTTCCAGGGAGAGTAGCCAGAAAACAGTTGTGCGCCTTTTGAAGAAATCCAATGACTCACCCCATGACGATCATCGCTCCACACGCCAAAAACGCTTCGACTCACGCTTCACCGGAGCACGGAAGCAAAAAGGGCCCTGTAATCGTTGGACTGGCGCTGGAGCAGCTGGAGCCGCTAGAGGCAGCATCCCAAACAGAGAGTTCTGGAATCACGGCTCCCTGCAAGTCCTGGCAAAATTGAGAGGCAAGAGAGTCATGCGTTGTGTGCATGTCGTCCTTTTGCGTTCTTCTTGGGTTGGCGGCTTGTGTGGGGAGGTTGTCATTGTTGTTCAAGTTGCAAATAATTTGCTTGGGGTGGTGTATCATTCATTTGCAAATTGAAGAAATCGTCCCGGTGCTTTGCAATCTTCTATATGTCTTGCATCTGTGGTGACATAAAACGTGCCCAGCATGCTTGCCCAACATGACGATCTTACAATAAACCATATGGACCATATGCTTCATGAAACCTATGAAGACCATGAAGACTGTTGAACGTTGTTCGGTTGAAAAGCAAACTTGCTGGCACATTTTGTTGAAGAGTTCTTCTCTGGTCTTTCCGTTCGGAATACAGAATCGGGAAGGACGATAGTCCTGCAACAGCTCCGTCCAAACTGAAACACTAGCTATATATAATGCTATATACGTCCCACAATTCATCGACAAAGGTCAAAGGGAATTGTGTCCTTTCCACACTCATCTGCAGAACAAGGAACGTGGTGCAAAGCTATTTCAGGTTCCCATAAGACTGGTGATTCACAAAACCTTGGCCCAGCGTCTACCAATGGAACAAGCACGTATATAGAACTTAGAGCCCTGGATTCCAGGCATGTCCCGTATCAAAGTGCCTGGCCCTTTCATCTAAGGCTCAAAGGACAGCGCACCGCAAAATCCCCGCGACCTCAAACTGTGCGGCAGACTGAGGGAGCTGAGCAGACTGTGGACTGAGAGTAGAAGGCACAATAGATTCAAGTTGGGTGGTTTACATGGACAACCATCGACCAAATACATCTTGGGGGTGCCAGTGCTGGACCAGTGGAACCCGGCCTGGTAGAAGGGAGACTCCTTCACCCAGTGAAGGAGGGGCTACTTGTCGCGGCGAAACGCTGGCCGTGCGAGTCGCAGAACGCTGGCCGTGTGTTTCCGCACAACATGGGCACAACAGAAAGCGAAGCACACTGAGTGGAAATGAGGACCGTTTCGGGGCTTTGGGTCTTGAGGTTTTGGGTCTCCAATGTTGAATTGTCACATGTTCAATTTGTTCTAGCGAGAATCTGATTCATTGTTCAGTTTAGGTACTTGTTACTAGCTTTTGGATTCAATTTCAATCTTAGGGTCTGCAAGCACTGGAGTAGTAAAGACATGTAAAACGAACCTCATGCCAGGACCTCCCCAGTGACCTCTTGAGATTCCAGAATGAAGCCACCTAATCATATTGAAAAGGTCCCGGTGACAGTGAAGTTGCACCATGGTTTGTCCGTTGCCAGCACAAAAAAAACATGTGGGGCCAACACGTCTCTTTCTCGATCAACCGCTAGAGGCCAACAAGCGAATGGAGGTTCCACAGGTTTCAGTTATTTCAGCTCGGAGTTACCTTTTCTTGTTGTTGCTCATGAACTGTGAGCCACTATATGTTATGGTTTTACAATTCATGTAATACAGCTTTATCTTCATAACAATCTCTGTTGAAAGCAACAACTCGTTGTGTAAAGCCTTCGTCTGCCTTCATCCGATGACCGCCCTCGACAGGTGTCACCCTCAGTGCCTGGCATCACCCAAGACAGAGCTTGAAGAAACCTCGTGTTCGCTCGAGCGACCAGACCAACGCGACCCCGGGGTCATTCGGGGGGCCCATTGGGGGGGCGGAAACAGGATGTGGGACTCCTGCATTGATCAATGCCTATGGCCTATAGCGATAAAGGATTTAGAGCACGGCCAAACCATCTATGGCCATAACGGGGATGATTTACAGTGACCTATATCCGGCGTCACACTCGCACAGATGAGTTTCATACCCTATGCATACCTAAGCAGTGGCCCAGGCTGCTGCATTTTTCTCGAACTGATGAGCTTCCGACCCGGACTTGTTCAAAGACCCGACATGTCAAACAAGATTTTGTGGTGCAATCAAAGTTATGACCATGTTTATTTCATTGGAGCATAGATCACGCTAGATCCTGCCAAAACAAAAATTTGGTTTGGGAAGTGCACCGAGCAGAACTTGTCTCGATCATCTCAACACTGCATCACTCAGCCCCGTATTTACAAAGGCAAGACTTTTGTGCCAAAGAGTATGTCGTACTTATCTTTGATGGTTTCCCTTTCCTGGTCTTTGATCCACGGGCGAAGGCGGTTACCCAACAAGTCCAATGCCAAAATTGAAGGCGCAAGTCCTTTCATTTACGTGCCTCCAACAACATAAAGTAAAGCAAACTTCTGTGTACATCCTCTGAGGCTCAAGGACAATCATAAGAATATGACTGTGTTAAACGTGCTTTGCCAAGTTGTTCCACAATATGTTCCAAATCACTGAAAACATTAAGGACAATTAGAAGAGGATATCATTGTCCTTCCCCTTTAGTCAAAAGAAGTTGTTGTTCTTTCCCAAGGAGCAAAAGACGGAACTCTGTTTCATGTCCTTTCATAAACAAAGCAATTCCTAGACTCAAAACCAGACTCTCTGGAATGGTTTTCGGGGGACTGATTGTATCGAGTCTCCCCCAGGAGGTAGTTGATAAAACCAAGATCCCACAGTAAAAGCTAAGTCATCCCACTTTTTGACATGCCCCCTTTCCCCCAAAGTCCACATTCCTCTGCTTCCCAAAACACCTCCACAAAAATGCCACCAGCTCCGGTGATTCCGGCGAGTGGCAAAGGGAGCTGCTGGACCTGCGGCGGCCACAACGACACCTCTTGCGCCATCACAGGCTTCCTGGGACAGGAGCGAGACTGGAGCGAGCTATGTGACACAGCGATGTGACCCAAAATGGGAGATATTTCGGGAAGGAGCTTTTCTGACCCAAAATCCCGGCCATAGACTGTGGATGCTGTGAGGTATGAGATGGTATGAGTCTGGGAATTATTCTTTTTGCGGAGCTTCGAAGTCCAACATCGAGTCACTGGGGTTCAACGGGGATGAAGCTGAGGTGAACAATAGGGACCTTTGGCTACAATATTAGGCAACCTACTAGGCCCGGCAGGCGTGGTGGATGATTGACCCACATCAATCTCAGGTGAGTACATGGATGCCTGCCATCAATCTCTGAGTCTAAGCTTTAGTCCGTTGTGAGACAATCTTTGCAAAACAAGGATTGTATGGCCACAGCAACAAAACACAGGCCAAGGAATAACTATAGGCCAAGCGTCGCAACTTCCTCAAAGACCTCTGACACCTCCCTTGGCTTCGCAGAAAGCCACAAAGCCGTGCCCTTCAGTCCTGATACCCGAAAGCGGAAACCCTGCGAAGGAGCGTTGTGGGTTTGTCATGGTTTATCTAGAGTATTCTCTAGAGTACTGGAACTGTGTTGTCTCATCCAGTCAAGTGTTGGTTCTGACGGTTTCTTTGAACACGGAACTGCAAAAAGACTGCATGGCCGGAGGTGGACCATGAAATCCGAAGGAGGCTGGTCTTTCGGTGCTTGCCATCAACGTAACCATGATTCGAAGGAGTGGAAAGATCGAATGGATCACAGCGAATGGATAACCTGCCTTCGGTCCCAGTCGTTTCGGTCCCAAATGCCCAGTGGTTTGGCAACCGAGGCCACACGTAGAGTTTGAGTTGCATAGCTTGGATTTGCTAGGAGACTAAAACACGCATCCAATAACCCCTATTTAAACAGGATTCACACAAGGAAATCACTCTAAAACTGGAGAGGACTACACAAGCTTGATTGTAAGCTTGATTGTGTATATTCACAAGTACACCCACAACAGTCCGGATACTCATTGCATCGCTTCATGAACTGATGCATCTCAATATTGTCCAACATTGTCCAACTATATGACATCTTAGGTGGCAGCCAAGTCAGCTGGATCTTTTGTAGATGTCTTTAAGGTTCCCAATCTCATCAAAAAGGCTTTGTTGCTAAGGATCCCGCCTTGGAGATCACTCTCAGGCCACCAAATGGGCAAATCAACCTCCACAGAGCTCTGAAGGAAGCTCCTTAAGATCATGTCCGTTTCAGCGAAGGACCAAGGAACGCCAAGGACCCTGGCAAGGCTTCCGCTAAAGCTCTTCAACAGCCATACGTTATAAGACTTTATCAGAGATGACAAAAGGCCTCGCAATGTGATATTGACAAATATTTGGTGGTGGTGGTGGTGGTGGCGGTGGTGGTGGTAGCCATCGCAGCAGCAGCAGCAGCAGTAGGTATGTACATATATGTACAACTGTTTTCCACACCAAACACCATGCGTGCCCTTCCACTGTTTTTTGACCTGTCCAACCTGCAAATACGGGACAACATCATATGTCATAGAACACACGCGTGTCTTGTCAAAACCAACAAACTGGGATGTCAGCCCAGTTTGCTAGGTCTTCATATGTCTTCATACCTAATTATGTGTTTCTGACCACAGCGGGCAGTAAACCAATGGGTGCAAGCAATTTGCTGAAGATGCACTCACACGCTTTTCAGAGCACAACAAAAGGGTGAACAAGGTGTTCCGGGTAGCAAAGCAAAATATCAACGGGACATGTTTTTGTATGTGTTTGATTGTTTTTGTATAATAAAGTTTATCTGTTTATCTGTCTTATCACTATTTTGCAGAGACAGGATAACACAAGGATTGCCCCACCATTTAATGTCAAGCTCTAACAGCAGTATATGCAACTGATATCCAACCGCCATCAACCGCCTATGCAGCTCTGGGTTGAATATCTAAGGCAAAATGTTGTTTTCTTTGCAATCAGGTGTGCCTCAACAAAATCAACCAGCGAAATCAGCCTCCAGTACCTTGAGCTTCCAATGACTGACACTGATGCTCATGCTGTAGGTTCCAATGGATGCAGACCCACACCATGCGCTCGGGCCCCCCAAATGCCCAGGTGACACCACGGGCAGAGCATGGGAGGATCATCGAATGGACCAAGGATCAAATAGGGCCACCAACGGGACTCCGACTTCCTCGGATCCCGATTGGACTTCTCCAAACGGCCAAACGAATCCAGTTGACCGTACAAAAAGAACAAGAATACATCTGAATCATGAAATACACAAATGCGGGCCATGTGTGTCAAACCTGTTGAACATCTTGAACCTGAACGGAATACCGAAGGAACCCAGGGAATGTTGACCAAGCCCTTGATTCTGGAGGCGTGGTAACATACCATCGATTGGAAACCGATTCAACCGATGACAACACAGCGAAGTACATTGCTCTGGGCTTGCGACAGGAATCAATGATCTACGACTGAGGCCAGGCACCGAATCGGGATCCCTTAAGATTCAGTTCGCGAACATAGAAGTAGATGTGAATTGAAAGCAACATGCCGAAAGAATATTTAAAAAACAACAACCATAAACAACCTTAGAGTGCTTGCATCTGTTCCAACAAAATCAGACATTCACTGCCAGCACTTCACCGATGGTCGACAGGTTCGTGCAACTCGTGCTTTGTGGACGTTCGCTGAGCTGGGTGGCCGGGGCGGACAGCGGTCCAAGCGTCTGAACGTGCAGTTCGTGGATCAATGTCAGTGTCAGGCGCAGTACGTTCGACACCGGCGCAGCGCATCGCCTCCTGAAACTGCTGCGTCGAGCATGCTGTTGTAGTGAACGTATGCTGTAGTTCGAGCAATGGTTGACTAGGAGTGTGTTCTGGTAATGAATGGTAATGATTTGACAAGGACAAAAGAGGTTCTTGTGTTTGAACCATGAAAAAAGCAAAGGCGTTCAAAGCCAATAAAATAATGTATCGGCTCTCAGGAGAAAATCAGCTTTGTTTGCCCCTTCTTTTTGCTGCCCTTTTCACTTTTTCTGGGATGGGTCTGGACTGGAGAAACGAAGGACTCTTGCTGGAAGAATCTGGTGGAAGTGTCAAAATTCCTGGTCCTGTTCCATCAAGAACGTCACATGGTCTGCAGAGCTGGAAGAGAAGAGAACCAGTTTCAAGGGATGAATCAAGGTGGATCATGCAGGATGTTGAACCCGTGATCGTGCCTGACCTCGCGAGGCGTTCCATCAGGCCACCGTGCAAGAAAAAAGACGCACAAACAATCATCCAAAAACGAACACAGTTTCCACGCCAGCACCCCACCCAAAGGACCGCTTGTTGTACATGTTTGCAGGGAGGGAGGGCATGTTAAGTGGCTTGAAATGGCATTTTCACCACCCAGTCGGCGCCAGTCGGGTCAGGTGGTGCTGGCAATATAGATCCTTCATGGACGCTTCGACACAAAGGACCTCCACTCACCGCGACGACCGAAACCGCGGAAACCGCAAAGGTCGCCAGGACCACTCGGCCTCCAAAACTCCGAGAGGGGCGAGTCGGGCATCAGGCTCAGGTGGCTCTGCACAGACATATGCCCAGGAATCCGCAGCAAAACCTGACCCAGTGGTGAAGAGTCGGAAGATGGTGAAGATTAGGTCTTTTCATCAGCCCCTTAGTACAAGAAAAAGATCTTTGAGAAGGCATCGATCGGTTTATCATCGACTCTGCAAAGCCTAAAGCTACTTGGTCAATTTCATGTGACTTTTATGACTTTTGCATATGCTTAGACTTTCAGTGTTGAACAAAAAACAACAAGGAGGAGTCCTGACCAAGGACCTGGAACAAAAACCCATAGGCTGCTATTATTCTGGAGATTTATGGAGTACCTTTCATAGTTGTTATCATTTGTATATTCTTTAAGATGACTTGGGTGACTTCTGATTGCCTCTCTGCTTGGAGGACAATCAACATTCAGTCAATGTCTGCCAGGAAACCATGAATCAACATTCTTCTGGTCTGCCACATCTATGGTTACACTCACTTTGCTAGATTCGATCCCCCGCGCGGGATCCGCGTCGAGTGCGGGAGCCTCTTTGGCTTGGAGAGGCCTTCGCGTCCGGAGGCCCCGAGCGGCACGGTCACCTCGACAGCAGTGAGCTGACGCCAGGAAGACACTGGAAGAGCCTGCAGAATTGTTGTGGAATTGTATATGAGCCAGCGTCTAAATTATTGCTTTGGGCCTTGACGATAAATTAGACTACAGATATGGAATTGCGGAATTGTCATCAAATAGTCATCCATTGTTGGAGCTGTGGCCTTTGACTCATCCCCAAGTCCTTTGATAAGAGAAGGCCTTGGCACGCCGGATGACCCAATTCTTGCCATACAACCTACCTAGTAGTGATGCCCTTTGTTCCCAGTAGCGTCCTTGCTCCTAGTAGTAAGGCCAGGAGCCCCTAGTAGCGTCCTTGCTCCTAGTAGCGATGCCAGCAGCTCCTAGTAGCGTCCTTGCTCCTAGTAGCGATGCCCTTTGCTCCCAGTAGCGATGGTTGACAGTCCATGAGATCACTCTGTAAGCACAACATCGGTGCTCCTTTGATGAACGTGTATTAGAGTAGGAAAACAGCACAGGCAACGAAGCCCTGGGTTCAATTCGGGAAACAAACCAGTCTACCCATTGGGGAATTCCCGGGTCACCCTATTCCAATGCACACCGAAACATCTCACGTTCACTCCCAGCCCAAGGTTGGAGGCCTTTGCTATTAGGTTGGCGGCCATCACTACCCGTCGCTATTAGGTTGGATGCCATCGCTTCTAGGTTGGAGGCCATCGCTATTAGGTTGGAGGCCATCGCTATTAGGTTGGAGGCCATCGCTATTAGGATGGAGGCCATCGCTATAAGGTTGGGGGCCATCGCTATAAGGTTGGAGGCCATCGCTATGAGGTTGGAGGCCATCGCTAATAGGTTAGAGACCATCCCTATTAGGTTTGAGGCCATTGCTATTAGGTTGGAGGCCATCGCTATTCGGTTGGAGGACATCGCTATTAGGTTTGGAGGCCATCACTATAAGCTTGGAGGCCATTGCTATTAGGCTGGAGGCCATCGCTATTAGGTTGGAGACCATCCCTATTAGGTTTGAGGCCATCGCTATTAGGTTGGAGGCCTTCGCTATTAGGTTGGAGGCCTTCGCTAATAGGTTGGAGGCCTTCGCTATTAGG